CTACTACTACTACTACGACGACGACGACGACGACGACGACGACGACGATTAAGATAGTAACCCCCTTGCCATGCAATTGCTCATGTGTGTCGCTGTGTCGTTGCAGCTGGAAGCCGAAAACCCTATGAATACCGTTTCTTGTCGTTGCATGTGCTCCAGCTGCCACTGCTACTGCTACTACTACGACTACTACTACTAGTGCTGCTGCTACTACTGCTACAACTACTACTGCTGGCACTACCATTAAGATGGTAACCCCTTGCGCCCAGGACCAACCGCGACTATGTAGTTGCTCATGCGTGTCTCCGTGTCGTTGCAGATGGAAACCGACAACCTTGTAAATACCGATGAACTTCCGCGTCATAACACGATAGCAAAAAGAGGCATCAGTTTCGCGGCTCCTTTCTTGTCGTTTCATGTGCTCTCCTGTTTCCTTGGATGCTCCAAATCTGCTTTCCTCTCGATGGCCACACTCAGAGCCCACACTGCTGCGTACAAAGCTGTGTTCGTGCAAGTGGGCTCAAGTTCATTCCTTTAAGTGGCAGATGCATGTGAGTGCACACTTCAAGTCAAACCCCGATGGACCCTGGGATCTCTCGGCGATACAAAGGTGACCATCGCGACTGGACCGTGTCTTAGAAACTTGTCTTCATCAGTCGCCATATTCGCCATTCGTCGAGACGAAGGTAATGCTCGTGGCCATCACAGCAAACGAACAAGAGTTGCCTGTACCGGTAAATCTCCGTATCTGCACGTGTGAGGGCTTAGGATGTACAAGACAAAAGCATTTCAATTTGCTTTTATTGGTAGAGAAAGCCAACGAGCCTGGAAACTTCGAAGGTGTGGTTAGCATAAAGACGCTATGTTCGCCAGGGCCTGAACCACTACGGCCAGTAAGACCAACAGACGAACACATGTTTCCCCCAATGTACTGTTTCAAGGTTTCGAGGCCAAAGAGCTGGCACGTTAACGTTTCCCGTAAAGCTTGCAGGAAAGCAACACCCCTTGTTATCCGTTTGACTGCTAAGACCTTTTGGACTTCTTGCAGTCCAGAATGTATCTGTTGTTTTCCACATCTTTTTGCCTGCCGAATCCTTCCAACACCTGGCATGCCGCCCTAAAACCCACTGTGGCCAAGGCAGCTCAAGGCAATTCTGAATAATAAAGAACGCCTCATCAAGTTTTCGACTAGTCCCATTGTGCTTCGACTTGGTGTCAAAACTAGACTGCTTCGTTTGTCTGATTGTTGGTCGCCCGGGGAGGCAGGCAATATGAGCCTCCTTTGCACGAAAATTGCATGTGCCTGCCTGCTGTAAACCCAAAAAGCTAGATGCAGGTCAGCATACAACCGAGCATGCAAAGGCTTGGAAGACACATACGATGACAGGAAAAGACAAGTTGTCACACGGAGCCAAGGTCTATAGAGAGCTTGTAGGGGATTCACTGTTACGCAAGACATACAAAACCCAGAAATGCTGAACGCTTTGAAGCAATTCAGATGTTTCGGTGCATCCACAAGAGAAATGACCACAGCTGCAGCAACATCAAGGTGTGAGATGGTTAACCTTGCGTCGGGGTTTGTTGTGAAGTGCTGACTGTTGCATCAAACCGGATGGTTGTAGCGGCCTTGAAGAGCCTTCGCAAACGTAACTTCCAAGGTACTTCTACCCAATGGCCAGGCAAACTGCGCATGAAGACTGTCGGCACAAATCGAGGATGGCACTGGATGCAATCACGAAGTAGTCTGTTGGTGTAACCTTGCACAAACCGAGTATGGCACTGCCAATTCGGAAGATGCAATCATGAATGGGCAGCGGAAAAGGAAGTCTAAGCAAACAGTAACCGGGTTCAGAGCCTCGGTCTTGCTGTCTTGCATAAAATGCACGACCACAGCGTGCTCAAGTAGATGCATCAGGCGGCCATACGACAGCACTCTAGCTGTTTTACGACCCAAGGAAATTGCACCAGCGAAGACCCCAAACAGCAATAAACCAATCAAGATGTTGCGTGAATTTCGAACAAGACAACAAGCTCGAAAAAAAAACAACACTTTGTACAGGACGGAGACAACAGTTTAGGATTTAAGGTTAAGGTTCAGGGTTAGGGGTTTAGGGCCTGGAGTCGAGCTTTAGCTTTCAAAGGACGTAGGGTGTGCCAGCAAGTTCTCCGCGCGTGGGGTTTCACCGCCCCACCCCGAAGGCCGCAGTGAAGTTGTCGCAGTCGTCCTGCGGACAGAATATTATCTGTTTCAGGACCTTTGACTGTAAGAAAGTGCCTTGCGTGTATCTCAACATCAGACTGTCTGTTCAAGAATCTACGTGCGGATGCGTGGTGACCAAACTTTTCTTCTCCAAGTCTAGTCAGATGCTTCAAACTTGCGCTTCAACTTCAACAATTTGCAAGCACAGCTTGACAGCCGCCAAATCTGGTTGTTGTCTGGCACGCGGGCACGACCGAAGGTTTCCCACAGATAAAGCAAGACAGGACCTGCATGAATTTGCAAATTGATCCCTGTAACATCGCTGCAGAAAGCGCGCCGCCTTCATCAGCCCCCTGCTGTTGCGGCGTAGCACGGCACGTTCTTGCTGCTTCAAAGCCTTCACCTTCTCCTTTGTTTTTGCCTTACGAGCACATCTTTCGAGGCTTATATCAGCCATGTGGCCGTGGACCTCCCTAGTACAGCACTCTGGCAAACAAGGATTGCTTTTTGGGACGGTACAGCATTGTTGATAGAGATCTTGCCAAAAAAGCTGCACTAAAACCTCTAGTCGCGCACTAGCCTCCAGGACGGGAAAACTTCGTTTTTGTGGGACAATACAGCATCTTAGCTGAAAAAGATCGGGTTTTTGAGGCAGTACAGCATTTTTGTTAGTTTCTTGCAAAAGTGCAACGCGGTGCGGGTACCCTTGATGCTCTGGTTTATGCTCACAATGCTGTGATGCTCATGATGCTGCCTGCAGCACAAAATACATGAATATATTGCTAAGGGGGAGTACAACATATATGTATATATATATATATGTGCAAATGCACACACACACATATATATATATATCTGTATGTATGTATGTATGTATGTATGTATGTATGTATGTATGTATGTATCTTTATTTATTTATTTGCTTAAGGAAACCACCCCTACAGTAATTCCTGCAAAAGAAAACGGCTTTGCAGCT